GTTAAATTTTATTTTTTAAGATTTAATTTCCAGTGGTGTTTGTGTGTGTGTGTGTGTGTGTGTGTGTGTGTGTGTGTGTGTAGTGGTGGCTTCTGCAGGTGTCTATGTGGGCCAGAGGCATTGATCTCCCAGATGCTGAAGTTAGAGGCCACTGTGAACCACCCAATGTGTGTACTGGAAATTGAAATCATGCCCTCAGCAGGAGCAGTTTATGCATTTAAACACTGAGCCATCTCTCCAGTCCGAATCTTTTAAAATTTTTGTTATTACATATATGTGTGTGTGTGTGAGAGAGAGAGAGAGAGAACATGCAGTCATGCTGCCCTACATGTGCAGAGGTCACAGAACAACCTGAAGGGTTCTTTCCACTGTGTGGGTCCTGGGGATTTAGCTTAAGCCATCACATTTGACCATATTTGTCTCCCTCTGTTTTGCACCCCCCTTTCCTTTGTTCGAATCTCTCTTCCTCCCTCCCTCCCTCCCTCCCTCCCTCCCTTTCTCCCTCCCTCCCAATTTTTACTTTTCTATTGCCATGATAAAGTAGCATGGCCAAGGCAACTTGAAGGCTAACTAACACAATAGCTTTTGCTGAAAATGTCAAGGTTCTCAGTATATGCAATTGTATTTATTGGCATGACAAATGAACTTATTTTCCAATTAAGACGAACTTCATTTCTTTCACTAAATTAATTTTTCTTTCTAGACATCTATCACTGTGTTGAATAAAAGTGGTGAGAGCAGGCATCCATCTTTTCCTCATTCCAGGTCTTACAAAGAGAGATTCCAGCTTTTCCCACCCAGCACAATGTTAACTGTGTGGACTTGCTATAAATGGCCTTTGTTATGTTCCTTCCATACTTCAGTTTTTATCATGGTAAGATGTTGATTTTGTCAGCTTCTCTGTTTGCATGTATTGCATGTATTTTTAAACTTCATGAGAAGTTAAATTTAAAAATTTACTTTGCACCAGGTGATGGCACATGCCTTTAATCCCAGCACTCAGGAGGCAGAGACAGGCAGGTCTCTGTGAGTTCAAGGCCAGCCTGGTCTAAAATGTGAGTTCCAGCCAGAGAAACCTTGTCTCAGAAAACCAAAACCCAACTTACTTTGACCTACAATCTGCTCTGCCTACAAAATGTGCTGGGGTAAAGGTGGTGCAGAAACTGTGGGAGTGGCCAACCAATGAGTGGTCCAGTTTGAGACTCATACTGGGAGAGGAAGCACCACAACACTGCCTGGAGGGCCAGCACCCAGAGACTAGCTAGCCCAGACACCTAGGAGAGACCCAAACAGACTGGCACAAACATCAGTGAAATGATTCCAAATGATACTCATAGATTGGAGCCTAGCTCAGTTGTCACCAGAGAAGCTTCATCCAGTCAGTAACTAATGGAAACAGATTCAGAGACCAACAACCAAACGTTAGACAGAGCTTGGAGAATCCTGTGGAAGGGGGGAGGGAGCCAAAGGGTAAAGGGAACCAGGAGAAAACCCACAGTATCAACTAACCTGGGCTCATAGGGTCTCATTGAGACTATTGTGACATTCAGGGTGCCTGCATGGGACTGACCTAGGCCCTCTGTATATATGTTGTGGTTGTGTAGCTTGGTCTTCATGTGGAACTCCTAACAGAAAGGGGGCCTGCCTCTGACTCTTACCTGCTTTTGTGAACCATTTCCTCCTACTGGGTTGCCTCATCTAGCCTAAATATAAGGAGAGGGGAGGTACCTAGGTTTTTTTTTTTACACATGTATACATGTATGCATATTTGCCTAAGGGAGAAACTCTTTTTTTTTTTTTAACCGTGGCTATTCTTTCTTTCTACTTACTGGTTACTAGGTTCACAGTTGTTTCCCACCATTCATTTCTCCTATTTTTGGTTATGAGCCTAGCCCTTAACGGCTGAGCCATCCCTCCAGCAACCATTCATTTCTTGAACTTCAGGATGGATTCCATATCTTCATGGTCACAGCCAGTTTAGAGCATCTCCAGGAGTGGCTAGGTCTTAGATTAAAAACAACAGCAACAAAACCCAGAACACTGGTCTGTAACTTGTAATGGTCAGCACAACCAAACCACGGTCTCTTTGGCAAATCATTCGTGAGTCCGAACTGCAGTCTCTGTAGCAATCAGTCCCAGACATTCAAGGCTTCATCAGTAACTGCTGACTTCCCTAACTGTTGGTCTTACTTGGAGAAAATCAGTCATTACATAGGATTGCCTACTTCTTGGTGTGGGAGAGTTGTCCGTATTCTGTCAATCATGTTTTAAATAAACACTGACTTAAATAAACACTGATTGGCCAGGCAGCAGGTGTAGGCGGGAAAACCAGACAGGAAATAGAAATGATGCAAGGAGAGCAGGAGAATTCTGGGAAGGAGGAAGCTGATTCCTCCCACTCCTGCCCAGATCACTGAAGCAGCAGGATATGAGTTGCCCCACTGAAAAAGGTACTGAGCCACATGGCTAGCATAGATCAGAAAAATGGGTTAATCAAGATGTGAGAGTTAGCCAGTAAGAAGCCTGACCTAATGGGCCAATCAGTATTATAGCTTACAGAGATCTGTGTGTGATTTTCTCTGGGACTAAACAGCTGGGGGGCCAGGCAGCACAGAAAAACCCTCAACAAGCAGGCCCGGCCTTTTCATGTTACAGAATGGCGCCCAACGTGTGGTTGATTTTCTCTGGAGCCTGCAGGCTGTGGGGTACCAGGTGGGGACAGAAACACAAACAAGCAGGCCCTCTCATGTTACATAATGGCCCCCACGTGGATAACTGGATCTTTTATTTGTTTTGTGTGGCCCCAGGGGGACACACCCTAAGCAGAATGTGATTGGCTAAAGTTCCCCATCACTGTTCCCTCCTTTTCCACAATGTTCCCCAAGCCTTGGGTGTATAAGTTGTATTGGAGGCGTATTACCTGGGGCTGGGCATGCGACGGCCAACTGTTTTCTGTGCTTTGACTAGATTTTATGGCTTTCTATAATGACCTCCACCTGTCGGGAAAAGAATCTTCTTTGATGATGAGTGGGTATAAGGAGAATATTTAGAATTGTTAGGAATTACTGGTTCTCACAAGGTCCCACCCCTAGATGAAAAACTTGAGGCAAGTCATGGCTGCTGAGAGATGAAGAATCAGTCTTTCCCAGGGATGAGCTCCCTAAATGGTTATCCAATCCCAAGTAGTCAACCCTAAAAACATATGCACACAAGCAACACTAAATGGACTCAAGCAGGCTGTATTTATATGTATGGATACAGGCAATAAAAATAATGATATTTTAAAAAGAACTCTCCTAGGGAAAGCTATCAAGACAAGCCGCACTACTTGGCAATTACTGTCAGCGAAACCGCCGTGCCTTGTGAATTTGTTATTATTATTCAACAAAATTTGACATTGTAGAAAGACATGAAAAAGTGTTGGCTGATACTATTTTTAAGGAAGCCTACCATTATAACCTGTTATTAGTGTTATGAGAGATGTAGATATTAGGTTATACCTGAATCTTAAAGAAAAATTAAACTACATTCTGTTAGGGTAGGGAGACATTAGCAAGACTTGCGAGGGACTTACACCTGAGAGATCAATGATGTATTGTCAACAGATGACAGGACACTGCACAGATGGAAATGGCTAGGAAGTGCAAAGCTGATGCATTTAGGAAGCCACAAAGAGCGAAGTATAGGCCTGGAGGGAAAAAGTGGCTGTAACTAAAGAGTGGGAGCAAAGTGATCCGTAGGTGCCAGTTTCCGAGAATGTGTGCTTTTACATTAGGACTTTATTTCTCAGATATTACTGTATTTTAGAATCATCAAGACTGTCTCAGCAAATTCCTATATCTTTATTCCAGTTTTTAAAATGTAATAAAGGATTTAGGAATATGAATATTTAGTAATACTTGAGATAATTATGAGGAATTTGATTTTTTCCACATTAAGCGATTTCAAACGCTGTTGTAGATTGTTAGACAAATAAGCTTACCTTTAATAAAAATATTTCTAAATCCATTGTCAGTCTTAGCTGTGCATTTAAAATGTTACTATTTGGATGGTGACGTCATAGTTTTAAAAATTTCAATACTCACTCAGAATTGAAAACACCAACCTAGCAATATTGTGAGTGGCAAGTGCTATAATGGTAGAAGTGGACAACAAGAAGTTGAGATAGAGTCCCAAGGGTCCGCATTAGAACAACGAGGCTGTGGAGAAAAGTGACAGCTGAAGGAGCAGAGGATAACTGAGATGTTAAGACCAACTCATCTCGGGCTTAGTAGTTCATTTCCTAAGGAGCTGACTCCATGGTTTCTGAAATAGAGCTGGGGTGGATAAATTTGCCTGTTAACGAAAAAAAAAATGAGTAGAGAAACAGATTGGAAGAAGTCTGCTATTTTGTATCATGTAGCAGGTAAGAGGTGATCTGAAATTATTTTCAAGTATTGGGTTCTGTTTTTCATGTAGGAAAAATCACCTGAGAATATTAAGAAAGGTAGTTGCTCTTCCTCTTGTGTTTCCTTTGCATGAGAATGTCGAATGAGACACAGTGCCTTTGTCTTTAATTTTATGGAACACGACCATTATTTGGTATGCAAACCTATATTAAATATAGTGACAAACATTTGAAAACTAAAGTTTCATGTTTATGGATGCTAGTCCGTTTTCCTCTCTGTAAAGTGTTCTCAGCTGTAGCTGAAGAGATGGCTTAGCAGTTAAGAATGGTTGCTAGGCCAGTTCTCAGCTGCCTGTAACTAATAGGAAATCCTACACCTTCTCTGGTTTCGATAGGCATGTGTGTGTGTGTGTGTGTGTGTGTGTGTGTGTGTGTGTGTGTGTGT